GGAAGAGGATAGTTTCCAAGAATGCACATAAAATGATATAACTCCCTAAGTGTAATGTGTGAGAGGAGGTAATATTTTATGGAAAAAAAATGTCATTTTTGTCTCATACCAACCTATAACTCCTGCTAATCAATAATTACATAATATACTATAAACAAAGCCTAGGCATTTCCATGATAAAAAAGAGGCAAAAATCACAGTCATAGAATTCTGATGGAAATTTAGGAGGCTGGTGGCAGATTTTTGTAATGTAACCTGAAAATAATTAACATTTTTCTATACTTAAAATAAAGTTTAGTATAATTTATGTTACAGGTCTATTATTTAATTTAAGTGAAATTTACTATAGCATATTCCAAATATTCTCAGATACTTGGTAGAATTAACTGATAGAAAATAAATGAGAGCTTCATTAAAGACATACCTGATGCAACTCTGTTGACTGATTAGCAAAACATTAGGAAAAATGATCTGAGAATGCACACTTATAGACACAGTCCCTTCACTCCATGTCACAAATTGGTTATTATTCAATATAAACAATTGGAGGAATCAGGGCACAGCAGATATTCATTTTACATGAATTTCCTTTAGGTTCTCAGGGAATGTCTGTCAAATATGTGTTAAGTTTTTATCCTGTTGTGTAACCTTGAAGTTTGTGTTTGGGAATTCAACTACCTCAAAAAGACAAATACTTTGCTGGTACCATCTAGACTTGTTGTGGTTACATTTATATCTTGGTCATATTTATTCTTACTCAGAAACCAGAGTCAGTTCAGTGAATTAATGTTCCTAAGATTCAAAGTTTGGGCTTGCTTCATCAACATGGAGTGATTATGTTGTTCACAACTATGATAACAATTTTCCATTGTCTTTGATCAAATGTGACCTGTTTTTAAATTCCATCTCCCCAAACCATGAACATCTAATGATCATATAAACTATAATATGATATAATTTCTTCCAAACTATAATATGATATAGGCACTCTAAAAATACTCTGAATAAATAAAATAATGGCATTTTTTTTAGTTAAAGAGAGACAACCTCTCTTCTTAGAGTTTATATCAGTTTAGATATGTCTTCTGAAGTCTGAGAATTCCTATAATCTTCTTCTTTTGTAGACACTTCAGCATTCAGCTTTTGTTAGAAAACCCTCTGGGACTAAAGGTTTCCATGTGTAAACCTGGACACTTCATTTAATTACCCTGAGCCATATGCAAGGTCAATCAGAATGTTAATCAATCATAAAACTATAATGATTAAAGAAAATAATTGAACATATTAGACACCTAATAAAGAAATCATCTCAATTAGAATTCTTCCTGACATTGTTTTCTAGGAAAAAGAAATAATCATTTTAACTAAATTGATTATAATCTTATCTTTGTCCATATTCACCAATTTGTTTTCACTACTGCTTCATTTTAAAACCATTACAAATTATCACTACCATGTACATATGCAGTTGTGTTTGCTGGTTTATTTATATATGGCATATATTTGTTTCTCAGTTACCCTTAATATATATCTTTGCATGATATATAGCCCACCATTTCATCCTGTATTCATCACCTTTTATGTTTTTATTCTATTCTACTACCTGTTTACTCAACATTCCAAAAGTTGCTTTCATATTCAACCAATATAATGACAAAATGTTAAACCTAATTTTATTCAGTTATCCTAATTGCCTAATTTATCCCTAATATTGAAAGCAATCTACTGCATGACAATACACATGAATGCATGCACACAAACACACACACTTGAAATTCTATGTAAAAATTACTTCTGCTATTTTGTGTGGCATTACATTGAAATATATATCCCCCACACATAGATTTGCATCTTCTAAAATCACTTCCAATAATAATATGCTTGTAAATTTTTATATTCAGCAACTTATAAATTTTAGGGCTTTAAAAATAATATATATACCAGATTATGCATAATATGTACATATCATTACATTATATAAATGAAAATTTTAAACATAGAATTTTTAACAGTTCTATTTTCCCCTGTAGAGCCTTATATAAGTAAGACAAGAATATCTGTGATATTTCCTCTCTAAAGTTGACAAAACATTAAATACATGAATGACTACCCTTGGGGAGAATGCTAGTACCTTAATTTCCTCATGTCTATTTGTGGCTGTTTTAATGAAACCCAGTGTTCACAAAGCACTGGGGATCCCATCCTCTATAGACCCAAAGCCAAATATAAACCCAACCGTCAGGAAATTAAGAGGAAAGGGACAGGAATTCCTCTCCACACCAGGTATGTGTGTCCTGCTCATGTGTTCTCACAAAGGATTTATAAATGCTTTCTCTGATCTCCAAAAAGAGAGTTTTCAATTCATGCAGGTGATGCAATATGAAGTAAAATCATCTGTTTCAAATTCATTCCAATTACCAAATACTCAAAATGGAATTTTGCCTGTCAGGTGGCTTTCTTGAAATAGAGAGTGGGTTTATTCCACATTTTCTCAATTAGCTGTAAATAAAGCTTCATATACTTAATTTTTGTGAGACTCACAAGAAAATATACTTAAATAACTACCTTGATATCTAAGACTGATCATTACAATCTATTAGATTTTGCCAAATCTGAGAAATAGAGCAGCAATTTCATTGGCATTCTTACCAGAACTGTTTTTTAGATGCAAATATCAGTTTGATGTATCATATCTGATTTTACAGTAAAATAAAATTGTAACATGAAAAGTAGTCCAGAGGAAAGTGACTATTATAAAGAAACAATTATGAAATCATTAAAATTAAAAGAAGTTCACAGTCACAAATGCACTTTGTTTTAAAAGAAGGTCAATCAAGCCAAAGTTAGCTAAACACTAGTAAACCAAAAACGAAAAAAAAAAAAAATTCTAAAAGTTAGCTTAAGCAAAAAGTCATTTGTCAAGTATGTGAGTAGATAGTCTGTATTTTCTCATTCTTAATTTAATTTATTTTTTCTTTGCAGTTCTGGGACTGTGCCCAGGGCTGCACACATGCTCTCCTAGCATTTTACCACAATTCACTCTTTTCTTCATTTGCTTTACTTTGTGTGAGCAATGTACTTTTATAGAGTTCTATGCCCATGCATGACAGTTTCTACATTTTTTTTTCTGTCATTCTCACAATTTCTCTTAAGATAGTTTATAGATGAGTCTAATAGTTTGGTTTCAAATACAGACTACTCCAGTAAAATGTAACCAGTCATTCTTTTAGATTACTTACAGTTTCAACAAAATGAAAATAATCAACTCTTTCTTGTAGCATTGCTTGAAGTTTTTAAATTGTTATTACATAATTTACTTAAAGTCACACTGATACTAACAGGTGGAAATCTGAATCCTTGTGTTTGTTACTCTTTATTCAAAGTTAGGTGTGCATCATTCTCAAGTATTTTGGATGGTTGCATGGAAAACGTTCAACATGTCTTTTACTTACTGAAAACTTCCAAACTACAGTGGCATATTTTGTACTCTTAAACTTCTGAGGTAAAGAGTGTTCCCTTTAAACACTATTTAAAAGTTACTTCATAAGTACACTATATATTGGCAGCATACTTTTCATAAATTGTGAGCTAGATGCTAAAAGTCTAAAATAAAATTAATGATCAAGTATGTCCTGTATAAAAACTCATATCCATGTGTCATCTGATGAGTAGGAAGCATATGGTAAGTAGGAAGCATAGATATTGTCTCTAAAATGAGATTTGAGACTTTGACTTTAGGGATTAAAACATATTGAGGAAGATTTCCAATTCTACAATAATGAAGAAATCTAAGCATTATAAAAAGTATCTGATGTAGACAAATCCAAGTCTTTGGAGTACAAATACTATGAAGCATCAGAGGAGATAATGATAGATATTGTTTGGCATTAGAAATAATTATTTTCCAGAACAAGTTATCCTTTAAAACTAAACAAATTATTACCTTAGAAAACATTTGACTGTTTTTATTTTATATTACAGATAGATTTGACTCTCACTTCCCTTTTTTGGATACCCTCTAAGTTTTAATAGAGGATAATTTTATATATATATATATATATATATATATATATATATATATATAATATATATATATATATATATATAATATATATATATATATATATATATATATAATATATATATATATATATATATATATATAATGAGAGAGGATAATTATATATATATATTATATATATAATATATAATTATAATATATAATTATATATATATTATATATATAGAGAGAGGATAATTATATATATATAATTATCCTCTATTAAATATATATATATATATATATATAGTACATTATACATATATGTATATTCTGTTTTATTTTTTAACTTGTTCAAAACTCATGTATAACAAATTTTCACATTTCCTCAGAAATCTGTTACCTATGGAGGAATATTTTTGTATTGGATTACTTTGTTCTTTATTAAAAGGCATTCTTCCTGGGGCTGGGGTTGGGGCTCAGTGGCAGAGTGCTTGCCTAGCATATATGAAGCACTGGGTTTGATTCTTAGCACCACATATAAATAAATAAAACAAAGGTCCATCAACAACTAAAAAAATAAAAATTAAAAATTAAAAAAGACATTCTTCCTTAAAAGATAATGTCCTTGTCTTTTATTCTGGAATTTAGAATATTCCAGATCCATTTCTTGAACTTTCTCTATCAAATATTCTTACTAGGACTTTCTAAGCGGATTGTCATTTTTCCACAGGTTCTTATGTGTTACATTAGGCCAATTTAGACCCTCCAGAGCATTCACCTGTAAGTTTGTATCAGGACAACTTTTCACACTTGCAAGAGTTTATTTCACCATGGTAATTTTCACAAAATTAAAGATGCTCAGTTTTCTAAAGCTGCTAATGGATTGAACTCATATATTCAAGCTGTGCTCTTTGGTGATTTCTTTTTTTTTTTTTTCTTTTTTTTTTTTTTCATCTTCTCTTGTTCCCTGCAGATCCCTTGTAGGAGAGCCACATAAATGGCTGGCAGAAATGTCAGTGTGATAACTGAATTCATCCTCCTGGGTATGACCGATAACCCGGAACTGAATACAGCCCTCTTTGTGCTGTTTCTCTTGATCTATGTCGTTACCGTGGTAGGAAATATTTGGATTATCGTGGTAATTGTGTCCAGTGCCCAGCTTCATTCTCCCAAATACTTTTTCCTGAGCCACTTGGCTTTCTTGGATTTTTGCTATTCCTCAGTCTTTATTCCTAAAATGTTGCTGAACTACTTTGCAGGACAGAAAGTCATCTCCTATCATGGTTGTCTCCTTCAGTATTACTTTGTCAGCCTCTTCCTGACCACAGAATGCTTCCTTCTGGCTGCCATGGCCTATGACCGATACCTTGCCATTTGCCACGCCCTGCATTACAGAGGTCTCATGACCCCCACATTCTGCATCTGCCTGGTGACTGCTTCTTACCTGCTGGGTTGTGCCAACTCACTCACCCACCTGAGCGGCTTGCTCCGGCTGTCTTTCTGTGGGCCCAATGTTATTGACCATTATTTCTGTGATATTCCTTTACTCTTCCGACTCTCTTGTTCTGACAGCCACCACAATGAGCTTTTATTCCTTGTCCTCTCTGGAGCGACCTCAGTGACAACCTTTTTGTTGGTAGCTAGCTCCTACCTGGGAATTCTTATCGTGGTCCTGAGAATGAACTCCTCCAGGGGTAGGTACAAAGCCTTATCCACCTGTTCCTCCCACCTGACTGTGGTAACTCTCTTCTATGGAACAGTGATGTCTACCTACCTGGGAACCAGCGCTCACTACCCGCAGGACAGACAGAAAATTCTGTCTGTGTTTTATACTCTTTTGCTGCCAATACTAAATCTTCTAATATACAGCATAAGAAACAGAGAAGCCAAAGAAGCCATGACAAGAATAATTAAGAGAAAAATATTTTCCCATTGAATATGAGTTTTCAAGGACGTTTTAAGGAATATTTCTTGAAACTGCAGGCAGTAAAAACAATACCTACAACTTGTGGAGGGAAAGGAAAGTAATCTGAACCAGCTTTTGTGCAAAGATGCATTATTGCTTTTAGGAACATACATGCACATCTGTCACATGCATCCATGTAAACATATATACACGGGTTTACATGGAAGTGTTTTCCTTTAATCTCTTTGGTTTACCATTGAAAGGCCTGTGAAGTAAACTGGTGAAAGAAAGATTAACAGAAGAAAAAGTGAAGCTTATTGAGATGCAACTAGATCAATAATTAACTACAGAGGTTTCTATACCCAATATAATAGGGAAAAGGGATACAGGAGGAAAAAAAATGGGAAAAATAGGCTTCTAATGGAACAAATTGGAGACAAAGAAGTTTCATATAGTGCTTTTTTTGTGCAGTTAGAAGTAGGCTTCTCTTGTTCCTGGAAAAAAAAAAAAAGAAGAACTGTTCACCCTGCAAAGGCAGTTTTTCTATCCTCTCCTTCCTGCAGTGAAGAAGCCTTGGAGAGAGTATTAATGAGCCCTATTTTTGGCAATTTCTATATTTAGTCACATAAAGAAACCTCTAAAAAACTTCTTTGTGTATCTTGTGTCTTCAATTAGAAACAATTTTCTGTCACTTTGTTAATGGTTCTAATAATCTAATTTTCTATCTAACAAATTGAGATAATTTCCTATGAATTAAATATAGAGGAACCCAGAACATGGACAATAGCACAATACCTGATAAACGTGTGCGCGCGCGCGCACACACACACACACACCACCTTGAGAAGAATTAGTTACAGAGTGGAAGCTCAATCTTCCCTTTCACATTTAGAACCCTCTAGACTGAACCATTTTACAGATGAGGAAACCAAGGATTAAGGGACTGGAAAGAATACCAGAGAGCCAATAACATCAAATATGTGAACTGGAATTTAAACACACTGTACCTGTACACTTTTATGCAGACCTCTTTCATACTTTACAGTAATAAGTAGAATTGTATGTGTGTACTATACATGCTATTTTTTTTTACCTAAAACTCTTGAAAATTGGACTATTTGATTTAAACATTTTAATAGGCACAGAAATGTTTCTTTTTTAATGGCAATTCTATAGCTGTCAGTTTTACAGAAATAACAAAATAATAATGCAAAGGTATTTTATTGTATTAGAGTAGATTAGAATCCATGAAATATCAGACTTAAGGAAATTTCCATAAAACAGTCAAGAAATTTGAAAATGATAATGGTTTTATTTTTTAACAAAATAGTGTTTAGAACACCATATCACATTGTTTCAATTGGCAATCATCTTATGGTCACTTCAGCATTAAAAGCCCAAGCCAGAGTCATCATTATGCCCAGAACTGAAATGAGAGCAAACACAGATTTTGTTAAATACCACTTTTGCAATATGTAGTGAATACAATTTTGAGTTTGCAAAAAGAATGTTTATATCTATCATATAATACTAGTTAAATGGTTTTAAATAATAATTTATGATAAAATATATCTGTTAGTTAAAATCCATTTTATTCCTAGTGCTTGACATTTAAATTTATATAAATATAATAAAATGTTAAGTGAATTTTTTATTATTTCTGTTTAATAGTTTCTTCCAGAATAATTCCATTGTTAAATATATTGGTTACATATAACTTCAATAGCACTTTATGTGCCAAAATATAAGTAATTGCTGTTATTGTCATAACCAAACTTTCTAAAACACAAAACAGTTTGCCTGAAAGTCTTTAGAATATGACAAGATGCTTTCTGAGTGATATTCTCAAATCATACATTAAAACATAAATGTGTATTTTATATACCCATGCTCTCACTTTTGGATGTTAGAAATTTGAATTTTTTCATCTGACCAAGTAATTTTTGGCATAATGAATTCTGTACAGTAGCCTCTGCTCTGACCAGCAGTTTCACTTGCTAAGGTTTCAATTATTCACTGAGTGTAAGGAAAAGAGGGTACATGGTAAAGGTATTTTCACAGAAACAGCTCTATTTTATTGCTAGTTATTATTGTTCATCAATTCCTGTGCCCCATTCATAAATTAAACTTTGTCATAGATATGCATGGATAGGAGAAACCAGCACTTCATCTCATTGTACACACATTTCCAGGTCAGTGGACTCAACCAACCACACGTTAAAAATATGTGGGAAAGATAAATAAATAAGAATGATGTGATAATAAAAATAAATATAAAATGCAATATACCATTTACATTTTATTAGACATTGTAAATAATCAAAAGTAATATAAGGGATGATTTAAAGTATGTGGGAATTTGAACATCGGTTGTATGTGAATACTGCACTATTTTATGTACGTGACTTAGGTATTTAGTATTGATAGTAGATCTTGAAACCAAACCCCTATGAATGCCAAGGGAAGATTCTGTTGGACAGAATTCGTAGAGGTCTTATGTATGTTTGTGTGTGTGAATTTGCATTAGACTTCATTACTTATTAGACATTCTGAATTTCAGCACACCTCTCTTTTTATGGTAAATACTGTGAAACATGAATTAGATGCTTAAGCTAACCAAGTAACTAAGAATATCTGACTACAGATACATTCATATTTTTATTTGCCATCTGAACGTTTTACATCTACCTCCCAAATGGGCTCCCTTTCTCAAAGTCCCTCAGTCCCTCTCAAACTCAATATTGTGAAACTAACACCAAATTTTTATCATCACATTATCTTTTCTGGATAAAGTATATGGATCTACTTTAATAATATATGGAGGAAAGCCCTAGTTTTGGTCCCAGAACTCTATTTTATTACTTGAGCTTTTTTGAGGGGTGGTATTGTAGGTACTCAAGATTGCACATAGGGCTTCTTTACACTGAGCTACATCCCCAGCACTTGTTATTTATTATTATTATTATTATTATTATTATTATTATTATTATTATTATTATTAATTTATTTTTTAAGAAAGGTTCTCACTAAATTGCTCAGTCTGGTCTTGAACTCATGATCCTCCTGCCTCAGCCTCCCGAACTGCTGGGACTACAGGTGTGCAGCACCATGACTGGCTACTTGTAGTTATTGATCTAAAGAAAACAAATCATGGTTTGTTTTGCTTCTTTAACTCTAAGAGCTAAGCTTGACCATGAGTGCATCCTACCTGCAGTTCCCTGAGCCCCAAACCTGAACAGATCTTGCCTTTCAAAGTGGTCCACCACAGTGCATACCTTAGGTGCTTCCATCACATGTCAAGAGATATTTTCCAGATCATCCCCCCTTATTTCCATGAAAGTGTCCTTGGTAGTGTGTCTGTCCTACTCATTTACTTGTTCTTCTCAGAATGTTCTTCTGTACCATATGTCCTACAGTAACTAACTAGTATGTGCAACATATTTTGAGACCTTCAAATCTAAAGGACCACTTCAGTTCCTGTGGGACACATTAAGCCTGGGAGAGTGTGGGTTGTTCATTCACCTGCTTCTTGGGGCACATAAAGGTTGTTCCCTTTTTTCATCTTGATTTTGCTAAAATTCACACTCAGTAATTTATCCTCTCCTTTGTTCGGTGGCTTTTGAATATGCCTGGGTTTGATGTGTCATGCATTCTGTTAAATTGTGACTTTGCCTATTCATTCTCTTTCTGAGGCAAAACTACTGATCCCAATGATTCTTTGGTCTCAGGTATCTCAGCCTTTAAATAAACCTCAAGTCTGTGGTTAATGGAAATTCTCCATATCAAAATTTTATCAAAAAATATTTTATTTTTTTTATTTTAATGTACTATTTTCTAATCATTATCCTTAATTGCTGTTTATATGTCTTATCTTTTGGGAAGTGTGCTAAGGCTGATTCTGGGTTTACTGAAATTTTTAAAAATGTTTTATTTGTGTGTTCTTCTTTTGATCTACTTTTTTCAGCAGAGTATTTACATATGTGGCAATCTTTGTTTATCTTTGAGGTGGCTTCCTAAAAAACATGCTCAGTGTCATGCTTAATTGCTTCATTAATTATTTGGCTCCATTGTCTACTTTTCATAGAGGTACACTCCACATTCTCTCTAAAAGATGTCCAAACCCATCACATTATACTTTTTTATCACTTTTTTCATATTCTCGTCTCTTCATGTGCTTATCATACCTGGTATTTTTTTTTCCATTTCTCTCTTCAATAGTGGACCCTCAAATGCATCCGTGACTATAAATATGTAAAGGATTATGCAAATAATTTCACTCTTCTAAAATTTAATTTGCTCATATATAAAATGCCAAATTCCACTGTCAATTCCAAATTGGCTGTCATGAGAAACATTTGTAAATTAGATGAAAAAGAGAAAATATCTTATTTTTCTGGGCCTATCAATGTTAAACTCATTTATTTTATCTGTAGCAGTGCAGGTGAGTATGAGTGTGCTGGTGTCCACAGGCTTGTGTTTATTGCATGTGTGTGTCATTTTCAAGCAGGCTATAGACTGGCACTCTTACTTCACAGGAGATGCATCAGAGGGAATGTGATCTAATTATCTTCTGGTTCAAAAGACAATATGATGATTAATTAAGTAATAAAATGTAAAGGACTCTGGAAGGATACATTAATGCAGACATTTATGCAATAATTAGAGTTCTCTTTTTTTAGCCTTTGGTTAAAAAGTTATAACAGAAAAAATGTAAAGTATTTTAATGTTAGACAAGAAATATTAAGACACGAGACATAATCTTATAACGTAGCTGCTATTCTGGGATAATAATTTAACTTCCTTGCTGTCCTGTCCAGTTTTCTGGAGAGTTTATACTCCAAATATAAAAATATTACAATGCATTTGAGTGATTGCAAATTTTGCAAGAAATATTGTGATTATACATTACTATAGCTCATCTAATTATTAACTTGTTACAATATAAAGTGGCCAAAGCCTGGTGCAGTGTCACATGCCTAAAATCCTAGTGGCTCTGGAGGCAGAGGCAGAAGGATTGCAAGTTTAAAGCC